GTTCGCTATCATCGCTTCCGCGATGGGCATGTGTGTGTGTGTGTGTGTGTGTGTGTGTATGTGTGTGTGTGTGTGTGTGCACGTGTGTGTGTATGTGCATGTGCGTGTGTGTGTGTGCACGCGTGTGTGAGTGTGTGTGTTTGTATGGATGCGTGCACGCGTATGCTTTTCAGCTAACTTCACGACCACCAACAATGGCGCCAATGCATCAGAAGAACAAGCCACTTCCAGCGAATAATGGCTGTAAGAACTAGCGCTGTTATATTAAGTGACATGGAAAGTGACTGGGAACAACTTGCAACAAGATCAAGTTACAGCATCTATAACACGTGTACCTACGTATGGGTGGTTTGTTCACTGCATATTACTAAAGACAAATGCTTTGGTTACATGACTGGATGGATGCAATGTGGGTTTCCAAACAAAAGCATTCTGAAGGAATCATGTGTGATTGAGTCATCCAGCACACAAGCCTCAGGACAAGCAATGTGCATGATTTTGTTTGCTGTTAGCTCTTCGCGTCACTAAATATGTTGCAATGTGTTGGTCTAGTATGGTGTCTATGCTTACTACTGCTGCGCACTTTGCAATCCGTTGAGAAGTCAAGCACCTGTGGGATGCTGACCATGCAGCCGTGAGCACTGCTGGTCCATTGTTACAACGTTATAGTGTGTGTAAGGGCGCCGGCCCTGGTTATTCCACTGGATTTCTATATTGGTTATTCCACTGGGTTTCTATGTTGGTTATTCCACTGGATTTCTATGTTGGTTATTCCACTGGATTTCTATGTTGGTTATTCCACTGGATTTCTATGTTGGTTATTCCACTGGATTTCTATGTTGGTTATTCCACTGGATTTCTATGTTGGTTATTCCACTGGATTTCTATGTTGGTTATTCCACTGGATTTCTATGTTGGTTATTCCACTGGATTTCTATGTTGGTTATTCCACTGGATTTCTATGTTGGTTATTCCACTGGATTTCTATGTTGGTTATTCCACTGGATTTCTATGGCTGCCGCAGTAGTAATTATCGTAGTCGCCTCGCTCTTTCTCCCACAGTCACAAAAAACATGTCACCGCACGGAAGACACTCAAGTACACGGACTAGCCCATTCACTGCGGATCCCATAAGATAACGGGGTTCTGCGTGTGTGCCTGCATGAGCATCTGTGCGCGCTTGCACGAGCGTCCGCTTCTCTACCCCCACATCTAACCATCTGTTTCTCTCTCCTTGCCTTTCCTCGTACTTTAGTTCCTTCACCGGTGGCAGCCCTGAAATCACCACCTACATCCAAGAAGCCACCCGGGAGTCCAGCAACTAAGAAACCACCGCCAAGCACTCCCAAACGTTTTACACCCGGTAGGCTGGGGGATGGGATTTGAGGACTAGCGCAGCTCGTCTAGGGAAGGAACAAGTAAAATCGAATTTCAATTAGGCGGCAAGAAGACAAAATGTTAGATACAGATTAAAAATATTGTAGGTGTTGTTGCCCCCAGACACAGAACAACATTTAGAATCAACTAAAAAATCAACTAAAAATGCTGTGTCTGGGGATGACTGTGTTCACAATTTCTCTGCCTTATTGAATTTGACTTTCAATGAAGGCTATATACCTGCTTTATGCAGGTTGATGCCAACGCGAACAAGCAAAATAATAATTAACGAGAGAGCTTGGAAGCTCAGGGCCCTACGCTATGCTTTGTTTCTTAGCTCATCGTGCATGTTGTGGGAACTGATGGAAATGTTTCCTGGGAAGGCGTTGACCCTGCCGAGCACGCGCGTTCTGGAGTCGACGGGATCACTCTGCCGACGTTTCCTGTGACCGGCGCTGACTCGCCCGTTCACGCCTATTTTGGAGACGACGGGATCTCTCTTCCAAAGTATGTTTTTGCTGACGCATCCTATCACCTATTCGGCAACTAACATCCATTATAATTTCATTTCCTCCTCGTCTCCCTATTTCTTTCCAGAAAGTCTCTCTATACATCAGGGAGTCGTACTGTATTGGCAGCCACATTAACGGGTCACGCCGCCCACCACCCAAGCATGGGTATGATGAGGGACAGTGGCAACAGAAACAAAAAAACAGCAAGCAGGGAGAGAAAGCAAGAGAAAGACGGCGATAGTAGTACATCTGGTGTGCGACGTATAGAAAAGAGAGATGACAAGAGATGCGCACAAAATAGGACACAATAATTATTTTTGCAGCTCCGAAACAATCAACCAGGTGATGGAGTGTGGGCACCCGAAGTCCCAACTGGACTCCACTGGAAGAACATCCCACGCAGGGATATCAGCGATAGGCCAAGCGTTGAAAAACAGCCATGAGGACACATCGTCTAGAAGTCCACCGCGCTCGAACTGAAATTGCAGGTTCAAACAATTTCCCACGCGGCGTCAGGTAGCGTAACTCTTCTCCCTGCATCACCATCCATCTCCAGCAACCATCTCCACTCACAGCTCATGCCTCTGCCACCACTGTACTCCTCCGAGCTTCGCAGTTTGAAACCATTCGGGGGTCAGCTACACCACCGCGAATGGAGAGACGAGGACGACAACGGTCGTGACTGAAAAGACACTGCCTTGGCGACCGCGTCGCGGAACCCTCGCCCCAGGAAATTCAGAAATACGCCAGGGGCAACTCTGGCGGACCCAGAGCCACCCCCTTGGCAAGACTAGTAAGAGGAACGACTGAAAACTCAGATAAAGCGGAGCTACAAAAAGTGCAACAGACCCCTTCAAGCACAGTTGCAACACACAGGGAGTCGTATACATGTACATAATATTGTGGCCAGCTGTTTGTAGCCAGCTGTGTTTGATGGTACGGTACGGGACAGATACGGGAGCCAGCAAATGGCCAGCTGTGCGATACGGTACGGGACAGATACGGGATAGCGCCAGGCGTGACACAAACAAACAAACAAACAAACACCAAATTAAAGCTGTGTGGACCCTGGCTAGCGCCAGACGTTACTGAAGTAACGTCTTCTGCATAGCTACGGGAATAATAATTCCATGCAGTCAAGGGACCTCGCTCCAGCTGCAGACACAGTTTTCTAGGCAGGCTAGAACTCTGCAACCATGTCAAATATTCCTATGCTAAGTACAGCGCTACTCAATGAAAAAACGGTAAACTTTCAGCGGATTTGGCACTGTGGTGACTCCGGAAAATGTTGTGCATTTTCTCCAGTGTCGAGCTGAGACCCACAGTTAATTGGAAACTCGTGGCCTGGCACGAGGGAAACATGGATGCAGCCAATGGGATTATCGGTATTTGACCACTTTGCTGGTGGGCTGATCTACGCACCTCCCACCGCTTCAGGAGCTGCATCTGCGCCTTTGATCTTGCAGGGTGATGGCGTTCCTATGGATACTAAAAGTTCAGTCTAACTGAAACTGAAGCGAACCGTGCATTTTCTTAAAACTTTTTTTCCCTCCAGTGTCGGCTAGCAACACTATTGGTGGAGCTAGTCCCGTGATGGGCAGCAAGATCAGCGATCTGAAAGCACAGCTCGGGAAATCGCCGCTCACACCGCTCAAGCCCTTTGGAGGCAGTCCGGCAACCGCTCCGAAGACAGCCAGCCCAGCAACGGCACCCAAGAAGACTGGATTTCAGCGGCAGTACTGAGTGTTCATGCACTGCCAGTATATAGCATGGAAGCAGACTGGGTCATAAGTGCAGATCCCGTATGTGCGAAACCAGTATGGGTGGATCTAAGATTATGTGCAGATCCAATTTGTGCAGATGCAGTACCTGCAGATCCAATATATGCAGATCTAGTATGTGCAGATCGAGTATGTGCAGATCCAGTATGTGCAGATCCAGTCCCTGCAGATCCACCAGTATTCTACAGATCCAGTATCTACAGATCCAGTACAATATGCAGATCCAGTAGATGCATGTGCCCCACAGTATCTGCAAATCCAGTAGTTGCGTGAAAAGTTGAAACCCAGTATGTGACAATCCAGCCAGCCACTACGAAAGGACCATGTCTACACTTCTTTTCCTCCCTCCATAGATCACACTGTTAACACGTAGAACACAGACAAATTTCACTTTTTTTGCATACTAAAAACCTATCTAACTTACCCAACATGTGATTCACATGCTGTGCCAGTTGTAACATGGCGTAGACTGTAGAGACGATAATGATAATTCTACGTTTTTGAAGAGTAAGCGTAACACCATTTTGCCAAGTTTTCACCACATGAGATATATAATTCAGTATTTTTTGGACCAATCGTTCTGTTAAAACCATGAATCGCTATTAATTTTTTAAAAGATGATCAAGCAAAATATTTTTTCCAAGTGCATTGACGCTTGGCATTGTACTACGACATACATGTACCTTTTGCTTGATGCAATACAAGCTGGAGTTGCGCTAAGGGATTGGTTTAGCGTCCCCGCTGTGTTTTCCGCCAGTCTTCCAACATAACTTTGTGGTGTACAGTGTAATTCTCTTAGTGCGAATACTGATAATGCATACATTATACTCTTGCTTAGTACGGAAATTATTGCTGCTGCTGCTGCTGTCCCGTCGTCATCATTGTTGTAGGGATGAGCACAGTAGAGGTACTACCATGCACATCCCTACATAGACGTGAGTAGAACAGAAGCTAACTGAACAAAGACAAGTGGACAGAACCGTCAGAACGGGCGTGTAGGTGCTAAATGAACCGTGCAGCTAAGCCTGAGGTGAAACGCGTTCTCCAGCAGCCCGGATAAAGCCGCAGACGTTTTCATTGGACAGTCATAATCCAGTGCTGCCCAATGAAATCCGGTCGCGTGAGACTGAGTCAAGTAACTAGTTGGCGCCTTGCACCATTTCGCAGGCCATCTTTCGCAGGTTTAGGGCTGCGCAACGTCCGGCGCGTACTTGAGTGACTCTATTGGATGTCATTGGGTAGTACCTTAGTTCTTTCCCAGTTCAGTACATTCCTCACCTTATCTTCGCCTTCGAAGATAAATTTTGGTCAAACCACAACTGGCAAAATATGTCAGGATGCCGCATTGGAGTAATTACATCAGTCTATTGTGTTCTCTCTGGCGTAGCATTGTTTTACAAGATAACCACCAACCGTCATGGTACAAATCCCAGGGGGTAATCAAAGGGAGGCACAAAGCGATTGCATGCAGCCGAGACAGAAATTGACAAGGAGTACTGTGACATTCAACGACCTAACACCTAGCTACCACCCATCTGCGAGGCACAAACCAACACTCAACAGCCTTTCCACATGGAAGGCTCAGGTAAGGGAAGGTTCAGCTATATCCTACTGACTCCACTATACTCTATAACGAGCCAATGTAATGATAATTATTATTGATAAACAAATATATCGATGAGGCCACATTTTTCTGGCGACCCTGATACCAATTTTACTGGAAAACAGTAGGCTCTGGATACGAAATCCTTTCTCTTGGTGACCCAGTCCGGGACGCTTTACCCGATTTTACTGGCCTCATTTCGCGAAGCAAACCCAAACTATTCAAGGATGGGTATGCCTACGTGAAAGACCAGAGAGTAGGAGACGAGGAGACAGAGACCGACAAGATAACAGCGGAGAGTGGCAGCCACAGACACGCGCCTGACCCGACCCGACCCGACGTCAAGTAGTCGACGCCTGACAGATGTAAAGACAAAAGCCGCTGCGAGTCAGGACCCTTCCCACCAGATCGTCGCGGACAGGGGAAGTGGTCGCGGAAATTGTGGAAGCTTATCACTCACACTTTTGGTGAGTATTTTTGGCCGTGATGCCGAGACCTCAGGTCGGCAGAGCCATCAATGCCCCACCATCACTGCTGCGTCTCAGTCCAGCCCCTGCTCAGTAGTTGTCACGTCTGTCCTAGTCTCAGTACCATTGTCTTTCTTTATTATTTTCGAGCTGGGAATGTGAACGTAGTAAAAACCGCACAGAACAGTCTAATGACAAGGGAGGGGAATGATGAGAGTCATTATCACTATGCATCTAAAACATCTCTGGACAAAATGAGACAGACTAGAAGGAGGGTTTGCACAACACTAGTACATAGAGGGGTGCACGAGAACGAAGGCGCGTCAGAAGTCTAAGCAAGAAAGCAATCAGCAAAGAGAAAGAAAGAAAACAAGAGAGAGAGAGGGAGAGAAAGAGAGAGAGAGAGAGAGAGAGAGAGAGAGAGAGAGAGAGAGAGAGAGAGAGAGAGAGAGAGAGAGAGAGGCGTCATCTATCCCCCCCCCCCCTATGCCAAGGAAATGGTGAGCACTGCCCATACCGCCAGTTGCTGCAAGCACAAGAGGAGTGAAACCCGACATCTCCACCTCTCTTCTCGGCTTCATTCTTGTTGAAAGCAGATTGGGTGTGAGCCGACTGGTTCCAAGCTGCAGATAGTTTGAATACTCTTACATCACAGTACCGTTATGTTCTTTATGGTATGAAGATTTGTGTCCTGGCGTCCTGAAGTTTCCTTTTTTATGAATCTTCGTTTGTTGTTCCTTTCTGGGACTTTGGTGTTGTTTTCAACGCTTTCGTTTCCTTTTTTCTTTTCTCTTCTTTAAACGTTGCTGTTGCAACTCACATTTCTATCAATCATTTTTGCTGTTGTCCTTTCGACGTCTTTGCTCTCCCTGCATTCATATCATAATTGTTTTGTGCGTTCAATACAAAAATGAAGATGGGCCTTGCCCGAAAATTCCAATAATCTAATATCTCTTTTCTTTTAGTGATTGGTGTAGCCAAGAGACCGTTTGGAGAGTGAAGATGTATGGATATACAGTGGGTGGCTACAGTGGAGGAGTCTTCGCATTTTGAGAAATAAAAAAATGTTTCAAAATATTAGTAGCAGTATGGTATCTAGCGCGAGAGCCACGCAGACAGAGATGCCAGATGGATGGTAATATATGGCTTGCGCACGCACAGTGAATCATGCAGCGCACATGTATACCCGTAGGCGCACTTGTGGTAGTGAAAAGGTGTGTATACATGTACATGTACCTGCAAGCCATCAGTTGCAGCTGAGGCAGTGGAGGCGGATCATAGTCGCTTAGTGTTACCATATGCACGAATGCGTACCGGTTGCGTACCGGTATGTTACCATATGCACGAATGCGTACCGGTATGTCTTTTTAAGTAACCTTGTAAGTAAGGATTTCGTTGGCATACCCTTTACCACTGGATGCAGTTAGTAACTGTTGGTTGCTACTACGTATATAAACACAGTCTTCCGGTAGTCACGTGTAAAGTTCAGCAGGATGCGCATGGGAATCATGGAGGAGCATATAACTTTACTCTGAAAATTTTGCTTAGTGGGAGAGCATTGCCGGCCATAACTAGGGCATAAGCAAAATGTCCCTGGTTCGAGTCGTGGTGGTGATAGTCATGACAGTCCACTGGGCTGTCACCACCAAAAGGTTTTTCTTTTCCCCTTTGCACCTTTCACTCAAACGTATGAATATCTCAATTCCCTAAAAGTGTCTCACATATCAATGAAGGTTTCGATAGTGCCAACGCCGTATTGACACCAGTAAACAATAATTTAGCAAGGTAGGCATGTCGAAATAGTGCAGAACGAAGCGTTCAGCTTGAATTATATTATCGCCGAAGTCTCTGCAACTAATTCCTTATTAATATGAATGAAACCAGTGACTTGAATTCAAGCTTGGTGCTTCGTTCTGCATTATTTTCAAGGAAAGTTGGTTGTTCCCCACATCGGAGCGCCCGGTTTTCCGCGGACTTGGCCTGACACCACAATGACCCATGAGTTTATGTTTTTAACTTTTTTTCCGGCGACAACGGAGCCTCCTCTTTCACTGGCAAAATATGCACAAAAAAATTCTTGTGATGAAGGCAATGACCCGAGACTGCAGTTCAGATTACATGACAGGGACGTACTGTGTTCTGTGGATAATAGTCTTGGGTCAGTCAAGTCGGCGGAGAAGCACATGCACTCCGATGTGGGGAACAAACATAATTTTCCATGTCATCCACGAAAAGTAATTTAGGGGACATTGTAGCGTAACCATGGTAACTAGTAGGTCCTTGGTCTTTTTCATTTTCTATTCATGTGAACACCGGAATTTGCTTCTAGGAGGAAAGATTGAAAAAATATACATCGACTGATCAAGTGTACACACCTGCATGAATATTACCTAACCTATGGTCCTCCGCCACTTTATGGCCAATTGCGTGGCAATTGCAAGGGTCAGTAGGCCATGTGATTATGCAGAAGAGTAGCGTATTAAGAAAGAAAAGGTGACAGCACCGACGCAATCCACACAGTCAAGAAAGCCAATTTGGTAATCGAACTAAATTGGCTTTCTTGACTGTGTGGATTGCGTCGGTGCTGTCACCTTTTCATTCGAAATTGGATACGCCTCCATTTGTTTCCTTACATTATTACATTATTGCCCACGGAAGTAGTTTATTATTATTTTTTTAAGAAAGTGCACATGGTAATATGGAATGGAAGAGAACAACAACAACAACAACAACAACAACAGCAGCAAAACAATATAGCAGTAAGGGACTACGAAGGGAGTGTAGGTGCTATGCAGCTGCAGTGCAATTTAAACGTGGAATTTACGGGTGCGAGTGCTTGGGTGTTCTATGTGCGTTCTATCTGACCATCCGATGTGACTTTGATTGGACGGCCACGTCTTGGAGCGTCGCGAAACTAGACCTCTTATAAAATGTAATGTCCATCTTGTGTAGGTTTTACTCAATCTGCGGACAGAACTGTTTCGTTCTTTGTGGACTCATCAGCGCAGCCGAACCTGGTAGCAATGAAAAAAAAAAATATTTTTTTTTCACACAAGCGGAAAAACCGTCAGAGATCAAATTCCATTACACAGTGTTTCACCGTTCAAGCAACGGATCATCAGATGGATGATCAAACAAAGTATGATACACTGGTTATATACTCAGAAGGTGTGAACTCCGTCACTATGGAGTGTGAAAATTATCATTATGTCGGGTCCCGGATGTGACAAGTCCATTCTTCATGATGCATTGTACAGAGTGGCTAGGTGCTAGATGAGGGTGATGATATTGCGGGGTGTGAACAGCCCATTTTTCATGATGCATTGCACAGAGTGCCTAGGGAAAGGTGATAGCGCAGAGTAGTGCCATGCCAGGTAACAGATATAGAGTAGGCCTTGGCGGATAATGCTCGAAAAGGTGGCAGATTCTGCTTTTTTTGCACCGAAATTGGCAGAACCATACAAACCTTATGGCGGGCAATTCCTCGAATTCTGCTCCATTTCTTTATCCACATACCAAACATGCATGAAACTTACCAGAAAAAGTACCGAATTCTGCCAATTTTTCTGCCGGCATTATCCGCCAAGGCCTAATATAGAGGCGCTACCAAGTCGTTCCCTGATGAAGACCAACCGGCAAATGTTTTTGGATGAG